GGAAGTAAATATAGAAGCAAAGCGAACGGGTATGTTTGTAAGCGAGGACAAAATGAAGTATCTCCTGTTATTACACATACTATCGAGCATAATCGTCTTGACACCCACGTAACTGTTGACAGTTTTAGGTTTGAAAAAGTAGACGACTTCATATGTTTCAGAAACAGCAGTACAAAAATTACACTCTATAAGTCACTTTTCATGCCTGTGCTGGTGTAAGACTCAGAGACATGGGCAATGAAAACATCTGATGAAACGGCTCTTGGAGTTTTCGAGAGAAAGATTCGACGCAAGATTTTCGGGTCCTTACGCGTTGGCCATGGCGAATAATGCAGACGATTTAGTGTTGAACTGGTTGAGTTTTACACATAATATAGAAGAGAGTAAAGTCGTACGTACCAACCAAGAATATAATTTTTTTATTTATAGTACTCAGCATATGTATTTAATTGTGTATATTTTTTAGCAAACCTCAAAAAATCGTACAACGAAAAGACATGCCTCGAAAGGCCCTTAAGTTCAGCACTTTCATTGAATTTTTCACAAAGTGGTCAAAATTGCCTACAAGTCAGTGGGAAATTTAATATATGTATTTTAGTGGCACTTGATGTAGTTTTGCCCCTCCCCCCTTGTCAAATATGGCTAACCTATTTTTAGACCTGCACAAGTTTTTATTGAGGTCTTTTCCACAAAAAATTACAATTTTTTCTGAACTCAAAAGTTAAATTTTAGCCAAGTAACTTTATATCAAATTGGTACGAAGAAAAAAATTTGTAGTAGCGAACTTTTGATACAGTTTACTTCTATTTGACACGTAGATCATGGATCCACAGTCTTGCCCCTAAATTTCATACCGGAATATTCCGCTATCTTGGATTTTAGTAGGTTTTTTTTTTGAGTGTGCGATTTGCAAGCTTCTTTTGCATTTTTCGTAAAAAACGGTTGTATGCAAACTTGCAGAGAATTTAATTTCCCCAATTTTTTTATATAATAATAATAATAATAATAGATTGGCGCTTACACAAGTTTTAGTGTTTGGCCGAGCTTCTCCTCCCGATTTGTGGCGGGCGCCTTGATGTTGTCACAGAAAGGGGAGGGACCTACAGTTTTCGCCGACTCCGAACCGCGATTGTATTTTTATGAGAAGCAGTTTTTCATGGCAGAAATACCCTCGGAGGTTTGCCATTGCCTGCCGAGGAACGACCGCTGTTAAGAAAAACCCTTTTTTATAAATTTTTTTCCGATGTGGCTTAAACCCAGGTGCTGCGGAGTGGAAGCGCTCAAACATATAAAAATAATAATTTTTTATTGTAAGTAATTAGCAAAACGTGCGAAAATTTTTGCATAATCACGGTTTTTGTCATTTTCCAACATTTTCTGATAAACATGCGTAGATATTCGAATGCCAAAGTTCTAGGGAACTTTTCTCTTTTACTGTTGGGTTCTCAGGGAGCACAAAATTTGTAAAGCAAAATCTAATTTACGGTTAGTTTAGATGCCATATTTGAGACCATGTTGAATTTTTTAAAATGCCTCACGGCTGTTTCCCAAAAAAACCTCAATAGCTTTAAAAGATACTATAGCTATATTTGACGTCGGGGGACAAAACTCCATTAAGTCCCTATAAAATATATTAAATTAAATACTGACTTATAGGCAAAATATTGACCGCTTCGTGAAAAATTCCATGAATTTACTGAACCTTAGGGCCTTTGAGGCAAATCTTTCCGTTATCCGATTTTAAAAATTGTTCGCAGGTAACGTTTTTATGACCAAATGAACCTTTCTGGGGTAAGTCTTGCTTGTAGGACAATGTTGCAAAATAAGGCGCAGTCTACTGCACATGCATGATGACATTCATTGAATTATTTTGCAAACCTATAACTAAATACCACAAAAAAAACCACATAAGGAAAAGTTTCATTTCCACATCCATATCCATATCAAAGCCAGTTAGTAGTTACGTAGAGCTACGAACTAAACAAGAAAAGGGAAAGGGATAGTATATTAATATTTATATAACTGTCAGATATCTGTCGCTTCTTTTCGAGCATTTTCATCAAACTAAAGGCATTTACGGCCATTTTTTAGACAAAATTACGACGAACATAATTCTCCTACCAATCTGGATGGCCTTTGACAGAAAGCATTCCCGTCCCTTGTCTTAGATGTGCCAGTATATTCCTTACCTTTCATCCAAATTTTTGTATTTTTTGAACGCCGCTGTTCCAGTTTTGCACTATTTCTTAGTTTTTATTTATTTATTTGATATTTTTCATACGAAATTACGAATAAAGACTATTATTCAATATAATCAAGAATTTTATCTGATCTCGGAATTATTTACAAATGCAAATCCGACAAGTCTCATACAACTTTCTTTGAAGTTTTATTTGCATTGATAAATTTTTTTGTAGCAAAACTACTACAGTTAGGGCTTTTCGCTTTCACAAATTTTCACTCGCTCAGTTTTTGAGTTAAGATTGTAAATTTTTTAGGGAAGATGGGTTTTAGCATAAGCTTCTTGGGAATGCAAAAAACAAAATTTCGAAAAAAACTATCAGTCAAGGACATTCTTCATTTCATCAACGATATGTACATTTATATATTAAACCCTGTCCAATAAAAAAAACGATAGTACCTAACATACATAAAATAAAACTATTCGTTCGAATTGATAACGTACTTAGTTTTTTGAAGTCAGTTAAAAAAGTTTTTTATGAGGAGCGGGACGGAGCTATGAGCTTGGAGCGATATAAAATATTGGAGCGCAGCCAGAGCGAAGCGCTTAAAAAAACCTTTGCTCCGAAGCCCTGGCAAAAAAATTTGTAACTCTTCCTGTTAAAAATTACAAAACACAAGCATTTTCAA